TTTATACTATGTTTAAAACAAAGCCGCTTCCCACTCGATTTATTACTAAAATCTATTACTAGATTTAAGTAGCAGATTTTACTAGCGGATTATTAATTATAAACAGTAGGTAATGGTACAATTAATTTTTGATCATCCATCCTATGATATACGAAAGTTGCTTAACCTCATGTTGTAGAACGAATGTACTGTCCACTGCGTTATTAAGTTTAGCTGCTACAAAACTGTCTTGCTAATATACTAAGACAAAAAGATTGTCCTAAGAGTTGCCGGCCCTTAATATGCCGCTCGAGGCTTCAGCCTATTCAAGTAGCTGGTAAATTTGCTACCAGCCTAATTGCTTTTCAGTACAATCTGAACTTAAATTATAAATCATCTACTTTATGTTGTATTACGGTTATTTCATTTTAATAAAGTTTGTTTAATATTTGAAAACCAATGGGCTTTCGATGGTTAATAGACTTAAAACGTGTTACATTATGCAAAATTATGCGTTCCCATGTAGAAAACACGGTCGATAATTGAATATGCAGGTATTTCGTTATGTAGATCTAAATACCTTTTCAGGTAGTTAAATAATGTTTCTTTTAATTAGATCATTACTTCTGAAGTTGTTATATTGGAATTTGTTTCGTTAAGAATGTTTGATTTGCATTTTATTTAAAGACTAGCTTACCGCCAGTGGTTTTACCCATGTAGAACTGTTTAGGCTTAAGGTTATTTGTATATCAAATATTTCAGTAGTTTTTACGTGAAAGATTAACAAATATACATACATTTTCACGAACTTTCGCATAAAAATATTAGTAGGATAGGTTATGTTAAATCAGGCTTAGATTATTTATCCGTATATCATCAAAATTCATCATTTCATAAAAACCCATAACATTTATGATGTTACGTATCCTTAAGAGACCTTTGTAAATAATATTAATTAGTCATAACAAGGGATCTTACTCCAATACTTATATTGTGTTTTTCACTCGCGTACTAAAGAGTATTTTATGTTCATTTGAAACGATGTATTGCATTCTCTTTGCTCATATGATGAGTGCCATGAGGATGGTCGGTGCGGCCAGTATGGATAGTGGACGGAGTGCTATATACTATGTATCATAACAAAACTTCGCGCCATACCCCGTGCGAGGTAGGCCGAGGACCAAGTGACACAAGGCTTTTGGCTTCCTTACATACATCTTTCGCCTCCTCTATTTTCATTTATACTTGCTTCTCACATCATCTTCTAACAGCACGCGATTGATTTGATCGTTTTGATTGATATGTCACACTTTGCTTTCCGAATAGCACAACGCAACCAATCAGTGACTTGAGTTTTGTTGAACAGTTTATTTTCATACTTAAAAAAAATATATATATATATAATAGAACTGACTAAGAACTATGGCTTGTGCTATTTCTTGCATTATTTAACACTGACTTGAAAAATTAATTAATGAAGTATTTAAAAAAAAATAGTTCTCGAAATCAAACTACATGTCGCTATGGTACGTTCTTGAAGTAAAATAGTTTTCAAAAGTCAATAAACAACTCATATTCTATTTGTACTTTTTCGTGTTTGTATTGATATCTAAGTTTCGAACTTTCAAAGTTCGGTTTTGTTATATGTTAGTTAAAAGGAAGGGAAATGACTGACTTTGGTCCATCAGTTTCCTGCAAAAATCAACTTTTGCTAGAGTCGCCATCTAGTGGAGGTGCTTTTTTAGTGCTTTCGTTTTTTTTAAATACTTCTTGACTCTGAACTTTAATGAGGTTCCCAATTGCGTGGGGCCTCTAAACACGCGGGGCCCGTAGCATTTGCTACGTGGTTAATGGCTCAGCCCTGGGGTGTGTCGTGAGTGACCTTCCTCAGCTTCTGCATCTTTCCAGTTTAGCGTTGTATATCAGAATTATCATTCCTCCATACAGTATTTTTTCTACATGGCCGAACCCACGAAGCATGGTTCTGTTGAATTTTATGAGTGCTATATAAATTCATACAAAGCTATGGTATTTTCGTTGCGCACCGTGCGTCCGACGTATGCGCACAAGATGGACGTTCACCTTAAATAAGCTGTATTGAAAATGAGAAACTAAATAATATTTCTAAAGGTTTTGTTAAAGATAAAATATGATTTTATAAATTTTTCTCGATAGAAAAATAATCAAAAATTTATCCAAAACATTCAAAATTTGTGATATTATTATGTGAGCTATTTTGTAGCCTAAGGCTTAAAACTTTAATAATGATTGTTAAGGTTTGCGAGTATTAAATTAAAAATAATGTTTGGCGCGCAATACGCCTCCTAATGTCCTTCTCCATCTCGATGAAAGGTACATTGAATTAGTCTCGTTTGTGCCCAGCCTTAAGAAAACCTCTATTTATGTAGCCTCAACACGGTTCAATGATAGTTCAATATTTATTTTCTGCTGGTCAATTAACCATAAGTCCTTTTGATAAAACTGTAATCAAATGACTCTTGATTTTTAAGGACTTGGGATATGTGAAAACGACGACCCTTGACTGAAAGGACTTCTTCTCATGTTCATACAGTACGCGTCAGGCTTTAATAATTAACCACACTTTTCTTTTAGTCTTACACGTTAGTGTTAATAAACAAATATCAAGATTTTCGCCCTTACACTATAATAATACCCACATAGTACCTATGAGTAAACAATAATTTTGTATTAAATAAATTTTGTCCGTCGAAAATTAATCGCGCTAACAAATAAACGTTCACCATACGAAATTGCAAAGCCATGATTTCAAAATAAAACGATTCAATTTCACTACTCTTTAACACATAGCCAACGGTGAGCTTTTTACGAACGTTGTCGATCTTATTTTCTGAGCCATACGGACCGAAATCAATTACATTCTTGCGGTGCTTAAATTAGTCAAGCCCTTAAACACGACAACGCTCTTTAAGCGGTTGTGATACCTTTGTAGAATGGTAATAGAGATGAGTTTCAATTGTTGTGGTTGCGCAAGCTGTGGTTGTTTGTACGAAGCGAAATGTCTGGTTTGGCTGCGCGTGCGACTCGACGTGTGTGGTCTGCGATCGATTTGAAACGAATGTTGCTTTACTAAAAATTGTATTCCTATAATAAAGCTGAGTGTATGCTATTCGTAAGTAAATATGAATAAAAAAGGTTTCGTCAGTTTAAAAACGGTGAGTTGTGTTGAAAATAAACGGGAAAGAGTTGTCATTGTTCCGATCTTCATGATCCTAATGACTTTAAAATTTAACGATGGACTTTTTCCCTCAAAATTTAATCAATTTATTAAGAATATGATCTGAGGCTGGTAGAACTATGGCAGCTCAGTGAGGCACCTCGTTTTTTATGGAGTATCTGAGACAATGAATGTGTCACAACACCCAGACCCGAGACAATATAGAAAATTAATTGACGCTCCTCCTCACTCGGCTACACAGGTCGTTAAAAGGTACATATAATCATACAGTTTTTATTAATAGAGGAAGCAATTTACGATCAAATATCTGGTGTTTAATTTATTAACTAAATACTACACGTGCAAAGCCGGGGCAAATGTGTCCGTCTATGTAGAACTTTATGTTAAAACAATGTTTAAGTTCATTATATGCACATAAACTCCCACATGAATCTGCGAATGTGAGAGACTCACTTGCACAGTTTCATGTGATGTATCGATTTGATGCCGTAAGCGAAACATCTAATAACTTAAAAAATTATATACAGATTAGAAAATTTCTTTGGTTTAGTGACGTCAATATAACATACTAACGGAGTTTTTTAAAATTAATAATTTAACTGTGTTTATACATGTTTACAGTATCGTAAGTAACAATGTTTTTTTTTTATATTTTTATCTTCGACGTTAGCACGTTAAGAAAGTACCCACAATTAGTTTTGGATATAATATAGGTATTTGGTAAAGTAGAGTTACCTTCATTCCTTAGACCAGTAAAGCCAACTTGTGGTTCCTACCAGTGAACTGTCGTGTCCACTTCATCATTCACCAAAGACAATGTAGACACTATACTTATATACCTACGTAGTACTATCTAGCAATTTGTGACTTTAATTTTCGATACGTAAAAGTCTTTTCTCGAAAACTTTAAGGTTTGATTGCTTTAAACTTAGTTTTTCAGCGTATTTGTTAAAACTATTATACGGAAATAAAATTAAATGCAGAAAATGAATTTTTCAATATTGTCTTGGGTCTGGGTGCTGTGGAACGTAGTACCTTCGTTCTTATTGGGGATTGATACTGGGTTTGCCGGATATCACGCCCTCTCTCCAACCGGGTGAGTATATCATAGGGTTTTTAGAGGGTAGTCCTTCCCGGGATCCATCGGATTGTATGTGTAGGTAGACTCATGGAGGAGTTTATTCATAAATTTTATTGATAACCTCTCTATTGCCGTTACATTCGGAATTAATAAGGAAATAAATTTTCGTTTCGTAAAGTCAGTACCAAAGATCATTTGCAAGTTTTATTTAAGTAATTGCTATTGTGTACTGTAGGTACACATATGTAATATAGTATAGAAATGTAACTCTTACAATTAAGTCTTATATACACTTAACTCTTAGTAACTCTTACATGTACAGTTCTATAAACGGTTATTTAGTAATGTATCACTATAAAAAGATTTTGCAACTATGTATTTATATCGTAGGGAACGCTTAACTTTAAATTAATTATTTCCTCCACCCCATAATATTAACGCAACTGTCTATTTATAATTGCTCATTACACATTAATTTTCAAAGTATCATTTTTATTTACTCCATTAATTAATGCAAATTAATACAAATATCCCATTTCTATATTGACTGATCATTGGAATGGATAATTCGCTTTTTATGTGCACTTGAAATGGTCGTGCGAATAAATTTGCCACGGGAAATGGTAGAATGAAAAACATGTTGACAGGTTAGAAAAAACTATGTCTGTTTTAGATGTAAGCTGTTAACATTAACGTCTTATTAGGTCAGTCTATTGATATTATCTAACTAACTGGTAAAAGTTTAGGAGTTTGTTTCCGTTCTGATCCATCAACCTTGGTCAGTTTGTGACATATTATAGAATTTTTTATAATAGCTGTATCTTACATTTCAAAGAACTTATTGAATAAAATTTCTCTTGAAAGAGTTCGAATGTTTATTTCTGTTTATATTTCTTAAGTTATTAATGCATTTGAGTAGGTTTTTTTAAGATATGTTGATGATTTATGGTTTAATTTTAAATAAAATATTTATTTCAATTTCTTAACAAATAATTATATCAATGTTTCTTCTTCTACAGATGGCGTGACTAAAGGGAATAAAGATGGCGGCGGTGTCGACCTCCGTACACCTGGATTCCAGGATCAAAATACAAGATCATAGCGATGAGGAACCGTACTCTCCTAATACCAGGGATACGACTAGTCCTGAATATCACGACGAGGAAAAGGCAGAAGAGAGACCTATACATACTTCTTCTTTCTCCATACATAATGTATTGAAAAAAGAAAGGGATACTAGTAGTCCAGAAAACGTATTTTCAACGGAAAAGCTATTGCAGAACACGCCTAACTTTGAAGATCATCATGAAAGTTCTAGAAATTCCGACAGTGTCAGTCCTCAAATTGACGACGACGAAAATCATACGAATGAATCCAGAGCGGAAATAAGTGTGGATGATGAGAATTCTTGTTGTAGTGATGATACTGTTTTATCTGTTGGCAACGAAGCACCAGTCGGCTATGAAACTAGTGAAAGAAGTCCAGAAACCACTCAAGGTTTGACGTCCTTCAAGCACATACAAACTCATTTGAATGCAATATCCCAGTTAAGCCAAAATTTGAATATAAACCAGCCTCTACTTTTAAGACCTAGTCCTATTACGCCAAATCCCTTAATGTTCCTAAACCAGCCTCTTTTATTTCAAAACCCTTTAATGAATCAAGTAGACTTAAAGTCAGGCATCAATGGACTGAATAGAATGCCAATACCACAAAGCAATGTAAACTTAACAGCGCAGCACTACGGTCTAAATTTCGGTGTGAGGAAAAACGGTACTCAGGAACTTAGGAACACTAGAACAGACGAAAATAGACGGTTAAACTACATGAGTCCTAAGTCTCCTACTGACGAGTCTGGTAGAGATTTCATTAATCAAAGTTGTTTGAAGTTTAGCATAGATAACATCTTAAAGGCTGATTTCGGTAGAAGAATAACTGATCCACTTACTAAGAGGAAGAGTTTGAAAGCTAGACACTTTGAAGCTAAAACTGTGCCCGTGAAAGAGGCTGTGCCACTGACTTCGAAGCCTGAAGTTTTAGAGTCGAGAGTACCTGAAGTAAAGCCAGGAGAGAAAGGAGGTGCGATAGACCTTTCTAAAAGTGAAGATAGCAGTAGTAATCAGGGATCTACAACAAGTAAGTATACTATTATTTTAAGTATTTGATTACTATAAAATTAATTAAGGAATATATATATATATATATATATATATATTTATATCTAAAATATAAGTATGTATTGGAAAATACCATACAAGCATAAGTGGTAAATCATGGAACTGATACTATAAATCGCCTAGAAGTAAATTAGCCCGTAGTACTGACAAATCTTTCGATTAGTATTACTTTATTGATTTCCATAACTCCTAGATAATCCTCGGTTCATTGTTCATTGTTACTTTTTTCCAAATTAAATTATCTAATGCCAGTTCAAAAAGGTATTAATTGTACAGTCATCTCAGGTTAAATTCTTCATTTGATTTAAACCTTAATGCATGAAGTCTAGAGTTTATAATCGATTGCAGAAATGCATTTTGTGGTAACTCACGTGCAGACGTGTGTACTTTTATCAATTTTAGGTACAATTGGTTCTACAATTTCAGGTACAACTACGGGTGAAGGAGGGCCTATGGTGTGGCCAGCGTGGGTATACTGTACCAGGTACAGTGATCGACCCAGTTCCGGTGAGTAATTTATTATAGATTTTATAATTTTTAACCTTTTTTTAATAATCAAAAGCGGTTTAAAATATTATCTTAAAGATATTTCTTTCAAATTCTCGTGCAATTATGTCTACCTTCAGTATTCTTAGGGTACTGATGAACAAAAAAATTGGGCCAGTTTTCACTTTTTTTTTAATACCTGATATTTTTTTTTCCATAATCTGCTCTAGTTAATTCTTTTCAGGTTTCTCAAAAACGTATCGGAAAAGAAAACAGTTTTTGGTGTGCTAGCATCTTGACACTTACTCTTGTAGGTACCCTTTTAGGGTGAAACCTTAAATACACGTGTGTGGGTACAAATTGGCATTGGGGGGCCATTCGAGGGGAACGCCTATCTTCCCAAAACATACCCCAAGGGCCAGTTATCAAATTATACCGCATTTTCGACTCCATGTAACACGTACCCTTTGTAATGAAGTATCATTCAATTTTGAGGGTTGCTACTCTAGTGTTAGAATCATTTTTGTTTGAAGTATGTTTTATGAATGCGTGAATACTGTTTATCGAGAATTGTTTTACGAATGTAATTTCATGGAGTGGCTTATTAATAAGGTCAGTAGTCTATTTTACAAGATAAATAGAAACGTGTTTTGATACTCATAGTACCTTTGAAATATATATTGCAACTTTTAGGGTGTTGACTAGAAAGTACTATGAACATTTTGGTTGCTTATCAATTGTCCCGCTAAAGTAATCGTCACGAGATTGCTTATAATAGAAAACGCCGCTGCTTTGAAAGTACTGGCTGTTTTGACTGTTTTATTTGTGGTATGGTGTTGATACGAGTATAAACAGTCGTCAAACATAGGTACTTGAAAAGGTAAAATTTTTGCAACCAGTCGACGGCAGTTAATTTATAAAAAAAATATTTATTTATTTTAATTACAAGTTTATTATCTGAATATTCTACAAAGACTGATTTAACTATATTAATAATTCTATAACTAACTTATGCTACATTTGCACTTTACTTGTGACGCACGTTGGTGCGTCCGAATTTGGGTCAGCAGACGATGCAGTTTTGCATCGTTTAACTCCTCCCTCCTTAAGATGGAAGCGCGTCCCGCAGCTTCCTGCAGCGTCCTCGGTGCGTTCCTTAATTGGTTTCTGCTTTCGTTGATGCCACTGGTATAATTTCCATACAACGAATGTGGTCAGCAATAAATATAAAGCCAATGTAGACCAGCTTGGGGTTGCCATGATGGTTTGCCAGTTGATGTCGCTGTCGTTAAAGGTTTCTTCTGCGCGGTCCATTAATTCGTGAATGCTATCCAAAGGTATGTCTTCCAATTGGAGTTCATATCGTACGTTGCTTACTGGAGTAAATGTCTGGCTTGGAAGGGGGATAACTTCATCAGCTGAGATGTGGTTGCTATTGGTCTTCAGGGTTCTATTCAAGACTTCTATTTGACAGTCGCTTGTAATAGAGGCGATTTGTATTCCATCTACTCTTCTATAGCTGGATTTTGGTCCACAGGTCGTTCGCAGGATGACTTCTTCTTGTAGTAACAGAAGCCATTTGTTGTCTTGGAGATTTTGAATTTTCCCATGTTTGATGTTCATCCTCGCCTTGGTGCAGTTGGCTTCTTGATGTTTTATGAGTGATATTATACAGTCTTCTGTTTTTTCTATGTCTTGGGTATTCAACAGAGGGCAAAGTTGTGTATTTTGCGTGATCTTCTTGCAGCTCTCCTGTAGGTAGGCGTACTCATTGTTTCCCAGTGCGAGGTATTTGGATTTGGGAATAATGGTAAGGTTTTGTTTGTCAGGGATAGAATATATGTGGATAAGATCATAAAGGTTATTGTCTATGGATGGTATCTCTAATATGAATGTTAGCGTGTGTTCTGTGCTGTAAGCTTTTACTACGATGGATTTTTCTATCTTGTAAATATTTCTTATACTAATATTATCTACAGGCCTAAGAGAATGTAACTTTTGCATATTATGCAGTTCTAATAATAAACTATGAGGAGGAATTATACTAGGGTGCATTACACCTAGCTGAGAAAATGTCATTGCATCTTCTAACATAGCTAATTTATCTAAAACTACCTGTAAACTAAGATTAATTTGAATATAAAGATCTAAGAAGTGCATTTGGCTAAGTACTAAATTATTACTAATAGTGGTATTTGATAGCATTTCGACTAATTTATTTTGATTATTGTTTAGACTTTTAATTTGTTTACTAAATTCTTTTATTGTGTTTTCTGCCAAAAATATAGATTTCTTTTGTGAATTTCTGACATTATTAACTGAAGTTCTTAAATTTGTTATTTCATTTTCTATCTTTATAGCATCTTCGTTATCTAAATTTCCTGTTATTGCTTTCACGATAGAACCTAAGCCGTTTATAATACCACGTTTAATTCTAATGTGCGGTGCTACAAATATGATTTTCTTATTTATTAAATTTAAGCTATGCTCTATTTGGTCTTTATAGGACTTATGCGAACTATCGTCATTTTCGATAGATTTTACACTAGCGTAAAGTGCTAGAAGTTTAGTGTTTATTTCTCGAATGTATGTTACGTTATAGACACAAGCTAGACTAAAAGTATCAACCTGTCTAAGTACTTGCCCTTGTTTTAGCAACAGAATTCCGTTAACATTGTCAACAGGGGTAAGTGTCAGGTTTGCAACTGCGAAGAGCACGAAGGTTCCTGCGATGAGAGTCCTGGAACAAGATGTGACCTTCGTAAGAGTTTGTAGTGTACTCTTATGGATTTCGCGTTTGGGTGGTTACCTATGATTTCAGCAACATTGTTTGGGTGGAGGTGTATGATTTTGTAGGGTCCTTTGAAGACGGGTTTAGTTTTGTCGTTTCTCGCAGTTTTCGCCACCTGTTTATAGACTGTCTCACCTACCTTAAACATGATCTCCTCGGCTGCTTGATTCCGTTTTGTTATTACCTGTTCTTTGTTTTTAGACATGTGGGCTGCTACGCACTCTTGAACAGCCTCTGCATTCGAACGATGTTTGATTACGTAATCCTGATAAAATTCTTTGGGATAATATAATTCTAATGGGCTGCGAGATGCTGTATGACCAAATAAAAGTTCGCGAGGAGTATACCCTGTGATCGAATGTATAGAGTTATTATAAGCTATAATAGCATATTTCATTAACAGTTGTATTGGGTCGTCCTTATTGGTCATTCTTTGTATTCGTACAATTTCTCCTATGGTTGAGTGGAAACGTTCTATGGGAGAGTTAGAGTTAGGATTATAAGGCGTCGTGAAGTGGATGTTAATGTCGTGTAACGCACATATTTCTTTAATTACGTCATTGTCAAATTTATTGTCAGAGTCTGTTGTTATTTTATGGGGTAATCCTAGAATAGAGAAAACTTGTAGTAGTGCTTCGGCTATATGAACGCTACTTGATGCACTTAGGGGTATAGCCTGAGCTAGTTTTGAAAAATTGTCTATCACGGTAAGGAAGGTTGCTCCTCCTGTGGAGTAAAGGTCCATAAATAGATGTTGCATAGGTTTTGTTGGGGTCTCAGTTAAAGCTAACGGTGGTTTTAGGGGATTTCTTTCGTATTTTGTTTTTAGGCAGATATCGCATTGGTTTATGAATCTTTGAATAGTTAGTAACATATTTGGCCAGTGATAATTCCTATGTAGGTGTTTATATGTTTCTTGTATACCTCGATGCACTGTTTTGCCTTCGTGGTATTTTTTAATTAATTCTTGTTGTTCGGATTTGTTTTCAACTTGGGTAATACGCGAAGTACATCTTATTAATTTAGGTCCTCTATCATTAAAAATGGAAGTGTAAACCCTTGAAAAGGCTAAGTATAAATTTTCTTCATAAAAATAGCAATGAAATATGCGATCTGCTATAGTATGTTCTTTTAAAAACCTAATAATTTCAGCCTCAGTGTTATTAATCGGGATAAAAACGTCTTTAATTATTGTTCTGGAATTAGTGGATCTATTTTCTACTCTGTAACTAGAACCTGGGGTTGATCTAATATAAAACTGTTTTAATTGTTTGTCAATAGCGTCTGATAAAATGGGAATCCCTTTATTCTCATTGTCTGGTTGAGTGTGGTTTGTCGATATCATATCTGTTTCAGCTGTTACTGCGTCACTATCCTTTTCGTTGTTATCTACTAAGTCGCTTGTCATTTCAACGTCATCTGTTGCTTCAGTCACTATTTCTATAACGTCATTATTATTAGTAACGTCATTTCGAGGTTCAGCTGTTTCGTTTTCTAAACGCACATTGTCAAATATTCGGTTTATGATGTTGTCATCGTCATTATCATCTAAGTTAACCGCTAAGGAATCTATACTTTTGTGAAAAATTTTAGCTCTAGACAGAGCGTCTGCGTTTGTATTTTGTTTACCCTTTTTGTATACTATTTTAAAGTCATATTCAGCGAGTTTTAGTTTCCATCTAGTCAGTTTAGAGTTAGGGTCCTTAAGAGACATAAGCCACATCAACGGTCTATGATCTGTATAGATAGTAAACTTACGACCATATAAATAAGGTCTGAAGTACTTTACGGCCCAAACAATACCTAACAGTTCTTTCTCTATTGTAGAGTAACGGGTCTCAGTATCAGAAAGTGTTCTAGATGCAAATGCTACAGGCATATCTGATCCTATATTTCCTTGGGATAGTACGGCGCCTAATGCTACGTCGGAAGCATCTGTAGTTAATATAAAGGGTTCGTCGAAATCGGGATACTGTAGTATTGGGGCGTTTGTAAGGATTTGTTTGCATTTATCTACGGCGTCTAAAAATTCGGGGGTGTGTATTACTTTCGCGTTTTTCTTTAGGCATGCTGTTAATGGCTTAGTCAGTTTGGCAAAGTCTTTGATAAATTTTCTATAATACCCTACTAGGCCCAGAAAAGATTTTATCTCTTTTGGCGTCCGTGGTATTGGAAAATTTAGAACGGCTTTAATTTTATCTTTATTTGGTTTTAGTCCTTGGTCAGTTAA